GATCATGGATATAAATTTAAGTTAACAGATCCAATCCATATCTAATACAAACAAAAAAAATAAAAAATATATTAAATTTGATTTTTCCATTCACTGTATGCTGGGGCTAAAAAATTTAAAAGATTATTTTAAGAAAATAATGGTTTTTAAGTTGAATTTTTTTATTAACTGGAATTATTCCATAATAAACAAATAAAAATTTCATATCGTACTATGAAAGTGAAAAGACGTAACGATAGAAAATAAATAGAATATGCAACGTTCCATTGCAAAGAGTACGATAAGAGAAAATCGTATATAAATAAATATATATATATCAAAATCCTCTATGACTAAATTTCTCCTGGGTAATGAAGAAAATAAAAAGATAATGTTGTGGCTTCTTCAGGGTGCTTGCAAAAGTACACACAAAGCAAGTTCTTTAGTCTACTTTTGTAGATTAGTGAGAGCACCGCACACAATCAAAATCTCACTGAGGTATTGATACAATATTGGATCCTGTATCGCCAATGGCTGAAGTACTTTAAATTCACGCAGGCAATTAACCATATGGCGTATTTGCGATCGACATATTGATTCCCGAACACGCATCGTAGGAATGCTAAAATTTCGCACACGCTTCGTTACCAATTCATTGTTTACAATTTTTAGACTTTGGTGCGAGGCCAATTCGCCCGCCACCCGCGAAGCTGTATATTTTGTTATAACTCGACCGTCGTCGTTGTCATCAGATGGTATTAAACCATCCGCAGACTCATCTGCTGAGTCAGTAGTAGAATCTGTTTCACCTGCAATCTTCGCAACAGCCTTTGAGCGAATAGTTTTCAATTTGCGTTTTCGTCGTATCGCCTTGCCAGGATCAGCAACCAATGACAAATACTTGGGTATAATATTTATAAAATTTGAAGCTTTAAATATGGTTAAATCATCGTGGTGACCGACGTAGGCTTCAGATATGAAAGATATAATACCTGAAATTTTATAGTTGTTAATAGACACTTTAGATAATTTTTAATGTAACATATGTCGATTACCATTCATATTGATGCACAGTATGTATTTATAAACATTGCAATCAATCTGCAATGACAAAGGCGCCATTTCCGTTTCTACGCAGTCAATTAAAGATTGTACATATGAGAGATTCTGGCGGTACGCAAAAGGAAGACTTTTATGGCGATCATAATACTTCTTGCTGTCCGACCAACGTATTAAAAACCGCAAATATTTCGCCAATTTTACAACACTACGTGCAAAAATTTGTTGCACCTCTATTTCGGACATTTCAAAATATTCGGCCAGCAAAGAGAAATCCTCATTTTGACGTAACTTTTTAAGGGTTAAATAGCAATTAACCAAACTAACATTTGCCGTTGGGCAAACAACATTTTTAAGGACAGGTAGTCGGCTAGCATGAACACCCAAATGTATATAAGGATTTTTTTCAATTAGCTCCAAAGTCACCGTACGAACAGTTCGTTTAGGTACGTCACGTTTTATGTAAATAGTCGGACGCCTCACTTGCAGAGTCGTCGCATTTAGTGATGAATGACTTCCAACGGAGTTGGCTCCAGACGTTAAAGCTGCATCTGCTGGTTTTATTATAGTATTCGGTGGTAAAGAACTTATAGCAGCTCCCAGTTGTGCCTTTTTCATTGGATTAGGCAAATTCGTACTGCTACCGCCCACATTACCGACGGTTTGTTGCCATTGGAAACTTGTTAATGGTGTGCCAGCTGAAGCAATGGTTTGTAACGAATATTTTGTGGATTTGATGGAGGGTTCTTCAATAAACACAAGCTTACAAATTGTGAAATAATTTTAATTAAAGTAAAAATTTTACCTATCGTCACAGCGTTTGAACGTTTCATCGTAGCTGGTTTAATAATGGCTGGTATTTTATTAATTACCAAGCCGGAGCTTCCTTGTAGTTTAATAATAGGTTTCTAAGATAATGAAAAAAATTGTGAAAGAAAGATAAGAAATTTAACATATCACTTAATAATTTTGCAGGATGACATACAGATATAATGTCCTGGAACTTTACCATAATTCACTTGAAGGTTGCTACCTGATGATGGCATCTACTTATGCGTCATCCGCATACACATAAAACTAAGATTTATCCATAGCTTTGAAAATCACAAAAGAGAGCCTTGCACATCAGTCTGTTACTTTTATTCTTAAAACCCTTAAGATTTGTTGTACATTATTTTATAAATAAATCACTCAAAGTTATGTGAAGTACGACTTTGCGGTGGGTACTAAGCGGTACAAAGTATCGTATCCTTATTCTTCCGCGTTATTAAAAATCTTCATCTATAATTATCTCAAAGTAAACAAAATAGAGCCAAAAGTCCCCAGTTCTGTCGCTTGTTCGTTTGACACTAAAATATGTAAAAAAAATTAAGCTCCTCTGTCTATCTGCTTGGATCATTCATTCGTCCATAAATTGCCATTAGTTGATGCCATGAACATTATTAAACCTAATGTTTTGCCATACACTTATTATGCTCATATTTGCTTAGAATATCTGTAGCAACGACTGATCATTTTTCACTTGCACTTATTCATATCATTACCTTGTTTGTTCCTTGTTGTAGCATTTTTCCCTGATCATTTTGACTATTACTGCTTCCTGTCGGCGATTGTGAATGCAATTTGCTTTTAATTAATATCGCTGGCTTCAACGTCGTTTCCCCGTTTGCTACTTTCCGATATTTTACTACTGTTAAAGACATTTTTGGTTATTCTTCTTTGATTCAAACTTTTCACAAAATATGATAAAATTCAACATTTAGTGATTTTGTATTTCAGTTTAAATACAAGTTTTTAAGACGACGCAAATTTTTTCTAAATTGATTTTTAACCTTCTTTGCATTTACATTATGCCAGAATCACTTTTCAAACTTATTTCTTATTTGTAAAAAACTATCAATTATCTCAAGAAATTCATTTAATGTTGCTTTGAGCTTTCAGAATGGCGTAAGCACAAATAATTATGTTGCCACAAATTTTTATTAGAGATTACCAGAGATTCCCAAATAATATCCACTATTGTTGCTTAAAAGTGCACGACAGCGTTTGCGAAGCGATGGATTATGAAAACTTAGAAGGCTGCATATATAACCTAAACCAAAGATGTAAACAAACGTTATTAACGCAGAAAGATGACTGTTTACAAGTAAAGCAAGCCCCACACTCAATGGGTTGAGTGTTCAATTTTTCCAACTTTTTAAGAAAATGTATGGCGTTAGCTAGGCTTCATATTCGAGTTTTTAGTTTTATTGCTAAATGCTAACGCTCTCGTATACGGGTATACCGTATGGATGGTTTGCTGGAGAATTCCCAATTGCGGCGAATACGCGAGGGGATGTGAATCGGCATGTCTTCTATACTTTCAAATTGAATTGTAATGAAATCAAATATATGAAAAATTAATCCGGTTTGAGATACTTTGCGAAAGTTAAGAAGTTTCAGTTATATCATATAAAGCTAAGATTGATTTTCAATTCATTTTAAAACGTTATACTTTCTTTATAGATAAATTCATATGTTAATGTATTATTATGTTATATAGAAACAAAAATAAAGTGATTTATATTCAAAGTTCAAGTGCGCATTGCAAAGTGTTCCTTAAGAAATAAAAAATATGTAACTGCATGAATTATATGAAATTATTTCGCTTCATTTCATTTCATTAAAAATTGTACATAATTTCGTTTTTATTATTGATTGTTTTTTCGAAATAAATTTCGAATGACGGAAGTTATAGATAGATTGTTTAGTTTTTTGTATAAAATAATACAGCAACACGAGATGCCTCATTGGGTATACTAAGTGGGACTTATTAACCCGAAAAATGGAATAAAATATCATTGTGGTCGTTTAAGAAAAAAAGCTATACAAAGTTCTTGAATAAAGGCAGCCTTTATTTTGGTCAAATTATTGTCTCAATCCACATACTACGACTGGAAAGACTTTAAAAATCACTTCTTTCTTGCTGTTAAACGCCTATAAATGACGTAATAGTTGTATAAACTGATATATTAGTACCTAATGTTGAGATTTGTCGCATCTGTTTCCAATCTGCATGCTCTATCGTAAACTTTAATCTAGAACCTAAATAAGATAATTCGATATTTGGAAATTTTATTGTGCAAAATTTTGTATCCAAAACAGTAACATATCTCCAAATGCAACTCAGTGTTGCGTATATTCACCACAACTATTTTGCTACATAATTTGAACATTTTTTGCTGGTATTCTTCTTTCTGGGCCGTTGACCCATCTTCGTATTTTTTCCCGTAAAAAATTTAAGAAATTGAAGGTATTTAATATGTTTCGACCCGAAACTGAGGACTTATTGCCAAGAATGGCTCCAAAGCCAAGTGCACCGATTGGTCTTAACGAAGCTGTAGTAAGGCCGCAAGTGCCTGAAGTGTCTATACTTTTTGGAAAAAAGTCGGACGAAAATAATGAAAAAAACTCGAACACAGGCATACAACAGCAGCAATCATATGCAGTGTGGAAAAAGCAAATGTTACCACGAGTTACCTTCCCGTCAAGTTTCGAACAGAAAGAAAGGAGACATCTGAGAAGTGATATTTTAGGAAATAATGTTAATGCAGAAAACGTTTACTGTAGATCAAATGTATATCCTTTGAAAGAAGCTCCTACAACGCCATTTCTATCTTCGCCCTCAATCAATGCAAACGGGGCATATCGCCAGAATTTAGACAATAACACCAATCCGTTTTACCAACAACATCAATACCCGGGAAAACCTCTCGAAGTAGCCGCACCATTGGTTTCTGCAATGAATAGAGATGTTCTGACTATTTGTGCTAGTACCCAAACAGACGCAACTGTATCGCCTAGCAAATTGGACGGTTTTCCAAATGTTCCTTGGCATAGCTTAGCTGCTAAGCAGGATGTGCAGGATTTGTTACAAATGGTTCAGGACATCCGTCAAGATCAATTATGCATAATGCAGATTTGTCAAGCTCTAATAATAAATCAGCAAAACCAACAAGAAAGGCCGCAGATGCAAAATGTAGCTACTCAAGTAGAGGATGAAATATATGGTACGTTATTGTTTAAAATTTTATTGAATTAAAAACAAATATATTCGTCCGCTTACAGAGCACATATGTAGAGATGTACAAGAACAACACGCAATGGGTCCGGTTAACAAGTTTCTCAAAAACGTAATTTCAAGTCCATCTTCATATCACACTCCAAAAGGAAAACCAACAGCTCAATCAACAACTTACAAACCCAACAGCCCGCAAGCAGACTACATGCCTGCTCCATTTGAGGGAAACCAGAAAGCAGGGTTTTCCAAAACAGGCAGCGATCGTAGTCTACTAATGGGCCAACTTGCTCTGAAGTATTTGCCTAGAGAAAAGCTAGCCGAACTCTTACAAGAATTGAACGTGGACTGCCCAGCAACCGAACAAAAAGAATTATTGACCGAGCCTCCGGCTTCTAACAATATTCCTTTGCGTAATATAGAAAACTACGAGAGAGGACCTGCCGATATTTCGAATGCCTCTTACAAATACCTAAAGAAGTACCGCTTACTGCCCGAAGACCATTCGCAGCCAGAAAACATTCCGATTACAAATGACGTCGCGGATTGTGGACAACTTTATGACATGGGGCAATCTCCACCCATCAATTTAAGACAACCGCCATTGATGCATAGAAAAATTACGCCATATCAACAGGCTGGACAAGATGGCGATGGACCACCTTTAGCAGTAGCTTCACCCGAGCAATTAGACTTAGAAAATATTAAACATCAACCAAAGTTCTTATAATGTGTAAAAATTGTTCTTTGTAGCGAATACAGCTTATCATGTTTTGAATACATTCCATAGCGTTTAGAACGCAACTAAAGTCTTTGAAACTTTAATGCTTGTTCAAAAAATAAACAGAGAGCGTTTGAATTGATTCTGAAATTTGAAAAATACGCAAGGTATTTTTTGTGGGCAATAGTAACGAAGACTGTATATGCGCCATTAACAAGCAGAACTGTGTTACTTGTATAAACCATCTTACGTAAAAGGAGAAAGGTTGGTCTAAAAACCAACAAAATCGCTTAAATTTCGGGCCGAAACATGTCAGTGTACCAACTTTTCTCAAATTCTAAGATCTGCAGATTCAACATAGGGCAAGTAGACAGACAGACAGCCTTATATCGATTCAGAGTGATTCCCAATAGGTTAGTATAATAAAAGCTAAGCCCATCTTAAGTCCTTCTGGATGTTGCATAAAATCGGTTTAGATTATTATTATTATTATTATTAATTTCGCCAGAGAAATAAATTCTAAGACTAAACTCTTAAAAGCACTAGCATCTAAGGCTATCGGCCTGGTCGGTTTAGATTAATGTATCCTTTTAACATACAATCGGTTTAGATTAATATACCCTTTTAAGACTCTTGTGCCTTGGTGCAAGATATAAAAAAACAATTCGCTTTGTAAGTGAAATTATATTAAATAATTTGGACTACGGTTTTGAAGATTATCAGCATTAGATTGACTAATATAAAGATTTATTTATTTCAATTTCATTTGTAATAGCTCTAGTAGCAATTTGCACCTCACTAAATTCCGGACAGTTTGGAGCACCATCCGCCCCACAAGTCATTATATTTTCTTCTATTAAATCATCTATTAAATCGTCGTGATTTTGTAGTGAGGTTTCAGTTTCATTTGACAATTGAATATTTTGCACATCCGTAGCGTGTTGATCTCTTAGATGACAACGCAGAGCAAACGCGCGAGCATATGTCGCACCGCATATATCACATCGATTTTTTGAACTCTTATTCAACATCTCTGAACCATTACTATGAGTCTTCATGTGAATTTTGACGGCATACAATGTTGCAAAAGGACGATTACATTCAATGCAAGTGAATGGCTTTCTGTGACTATTTTTATGGCCACAAAGTTGCACCGAAGTACGGAATGCTTTGGGACATATATCGCACTTATAAGGACGTTCGGTTTCATGTGTATTCAAATGATGGACGTAAACAGACTGCGATTTAAATCTGGAATGTTAAGCATAAAATAGCAGTGACATTTGAAAAAACTTTAGAAGAAGAATATTTTTACCGTTTATTGCAGACTGTGCATACGTAAGGTCTGATATCCGTGTGCGTTCTTAAGTGCAACGTTAATGAGTAGGAAACACGAAATGTCTTACCGCACACCTCGCAACCATACGGCTTTTCCCCTGTATGTATACGCTCATGTTTCACCTTTTCGTAAGGCCTTGGAAACTCTCGCCCGCAATACTGACATGGATATTTGGAACGTCCTGTCCCTGCTTGTTTTGTTTCTTGGAACACTTTAGTTAATGTTTTCCTCCCTACGGAATTTTCAGCATGCATTTGCATGTGCATATCATAATTGGCCAACGTGTCGAAATGACGATTGCATTTGCCGCAATTGTATTCTACAATATTTTGGTGCATGTTTTTATGTATTTCCAGCAAATTCTGATCGAAACTGTTAAATGTGAAAAGTAAATAAAAGTTTTTATTGCAATTTACATGTAAAACCCACCTCTTATTACATATCTCACAATAGAACAAATTCAATTCTCCGTATTCGCTTTGAGCGCCAGCTGGTAAGGCATCCTGTATAGTTTTAGCGGTACGCTTATTATGAATTTTCATGTGTAATCTAAGTCAGAAATCGTTGTAGCCATTTTCCAATTTTACACAACACATGCTATATTACACAATACATACTTTAAATTCTTTGGTGATGAAAACTGTGTGCTGCAAATTTCACATATAACGCTATTGGGCACAGTCACTGCGAAACCATTATTAGGCTTAACGAGTGAATTTATATGCTTATGAGCACGTTTATGAACATTAAGAGAACGCAAAGTAGTGAACACTTTTTCACATATATCGCAACCAAAATTATCACTCAATACATCTGCTTTCTTCAAAAAAGAAAAGGGCTACTTATAAAACCCATAACTTTGTTTACTCATACTACAAACCTTTAGCTCGCACTTCAAAACGTGATTTAATAATTCGTCATAGGATTCACAAGACTGATGGCAGTATGCGCAGGTAAAATCTTCTTCGATAAGTTCTTTATTGGCTGACTGGCTGGAGTTTTGCATGTCAGAGGAGCATTCATGTTGCTCTGCAGTTGTCAAATTGAGAAAAACTTCCTGACAATCATAGCAAAAATATCGCTCCGCGTTCAACGCCATTTCATCCATATCGTCTTTTCCTGTATATTCATTGCTCTCAATTTCTCGATCTTCATCAATCTCTTCATTTTCATAATCCATGCGATTTGTATCTTGATCTCGGATAATTATTAGATTATCCATTGTATCGTCTGGAAATTTATGGTCGGATTCCTTCACATTCTCTGAATTTTGTTCATCTTCAGCAATACCAGGATGAGCTTCCACAAATTCATGCACGCTTGCAAATTCCGTTTTACACTGATAGCAGTGATAAATTTGAGTCATTTGTTCATCTTCGTCTAAACATTCGCTTAATATCAAATTATGCTTAGTTAAATCATCTGCCAAGTCATTCTCCGTAGTCAAGCTTTCAGTATCTAAACCGACGAGTTCCACTAAACAGCTTAAACAATCTTTCTGATTTGTGTTTAGAGCTTCATCCTCCTCGTGCTCGTTGCCGTCGACTTCAATGATTTGTGTTTCATCTGTGAATTCTAAAATGCAATTTAAAACACTGAGGTTAAAAATTCAACTTTTATGTCCCACCTGTCATTTCCTTGGTAGCTTTGCTGAGAAGACAACGTTAAAATTCCTGATTAATAAACAATGATTTCGTTTTTAGTTTTGAAATTAATTCCCTAAAACCTTTTGCTCTGTTCAATGTCGGAATGTTTACTGCGCCTTCTCAGCGAAACAGGGTTGCTCTTTTTGTTAAGGTACTGTTATAAGCCTGCGTGGTATTGACATATCTGAAAGTTAACTTTCGTTTGCGACCAAACTGATAACTGATAAACACGTTTATTGTGATCACGTAAGACTTTCGTAACGTTGAAAGAATTAAATTCAAAAAATAACAGCTGATTTTTCTCTTTGAAGCCAAATTTTGATGAAACGGTCATCTGCTTTTAGCTGGACCACGTCCTATTAAAAGCATTTACAAATTTACTGAATAGAAAATGGGCACTGACAATCCGAGGATCGTGACGAGGACTTTGCTTGCTTTTTTATTTTTATATATATTTTTTTTTATATATATGCATTATTTATACATATCTTATTTATTTATTTGGAATTCAAAAATTCAACACACAAGCATTTCAAGGGCCAATAAAGTGTATTGAAGCAAGTTCAAATTACAGATTAGAACTATATAGTATCCAATACGTTTCAAGGTTATCCCAAAAAAAAGTAGAATATTATCGAAAATTCTAAATTTCAAACGCAATGGTGTATGTGGTGTACGGTGTAGTGTATGCAGAAGGCAGCCCTACAGTAAAACTTAAAAATGAAATTAAAAATCGCAATTTATATAACTACTTTTCATAACGACTACTTAAAAACTCCGATTTGGCTCTCCAGCCATAAGCCAAAGTTAGTGACGCTAGACGATATGTGAATATCGTACTCCAAGATGGAAAAATACCGAAGAGACTTTACTCGAGTGAGGAAATATACGTAGGACTCGTGGCAGATAATTCTAACAACGCGTACAATTAAGGATCTCTCATAACAACAGCATCTTATTAAAGGTACAATATAGTCTGCGCATTCCTAGTAGAGCTCGTATAAATATGTAAAATTAGAAGCAGCCCATACTTAGTAATTCTATAAAAGTGGAGTACGCTACGACACGTAAAGAATTGACCAAAGGTGTATCTCCAGAATCGCTTAACATGCTTTGATATGTGTGAACAATCACGAATATTATAGACATAACCTAGAACAAAGTTCAAAATACGATCAAGCGTAGAGAAACCATAAGCTACAAGCTATCACTTCACGCCCATAAAGGATCTGTGGAATCAAAAGGGCACAAACTAGTCTGTACTAGACTGGTTGCGGGAGATATGTATCCTCCACTTATCCATAGATGAGCTCAATACATTTCTCAAAAGTGATAATTAATTGATGCCAATACTGATTCTTATTATCAATAAGTATAGCCCTGGATTTTGACGAGGTTATGAGTGCAGCTTTAACTTGAGACTATTCAAAACGTTGTACAAGACTACGATTGGTATTCCACTTAAAGACCCCTGCGTCCCCACCAGATATATGCCAGATATATATTATACGGGAATAAAGCATGCACGCATTGGTTCCTATAAATTCCGGCAGATGACATTGCCTTGTAGACTCTCAGTCTGAAATGAGGCCCTAGTTCTGTAGCTACCTAGTGATTAGTAGCCTGGGGTTCTTGCGTCCGGAACGGGGTTCTTAAAGTCATCGGCTCTCGGAAGAACATCCTAGAAAACCCTAGATCTACAGAGATATACCTGCCTGCTAGCTGAATATGGTAATATATGAATTACAGATCAATCACGATAATTTATTCGAGAATTACGAAATGATTTAGTTAGATTACGCGCGAATCACGGCTCTAGTTCGAGCTGTACACTATCGTGGCTGTTCGCTAGCGCAGCTTGGCTTTTTTTTCTTCCTTACTATGTCACCACGTAAACAGTTCCCTATAGACCTCTAAACGAATGCAGTACAATATATAATTACAATAAGCAGCTAATCCTCCTCAGTGAGTCCCCGGAAAGAACATAGTAGGCTTACATACATTCTTGTCAAATCCCATCGAAATACATAAAACTACATACAATAACGAAAAACTGGAAGGGGCTTGTATTGGCAAATGCAATAAAATAAAATAAAATTCTTACACATATTTCGTTTTGTATTGGAGATCTACTCGAGAATGATCAAATAAATCTTGCATTCCTTATTAATAAACTCTCACTGCGAGATTAGGTTTGTTTGGTAAAGTTTTTGACGTTTGACGAAGTTTTCCGTAATAAGAGGTATGGCTACACAAGAACTCGTCAAATAATGAAGCAGCTGCTTGAACAAGCAGGAATTTTAAACTCTCACCACAATAAGCTGTTTAGCTGTTAGAAGGAAAGCTCTGTCGAATACAGACAGCTTATCAGAATATGGGGAATATCAATAGGTATTGAAGGTTTGAAGCGTAGTACAGATGAGGTACTTGTCAACGATTTTTTCGGAAACAACTCTGCTTGATAGCGTTACATCAACACTGACAAGCCTTAATTGCTTTTTCATATTCGCCTTGGAAGATTCAACTATCATTGACGATTCCACCAAAAGGTTAGAATTATTACCTCTTACTCCTTTCATAAAACAATTTATTACTTTTTTGGGTCCTTTGGTAACACATTTGCAATTTTTAGATCTTCACAAGTTGTGTACAGAAATGCGGATCGACTTATTTGGCTTTAACAAATAATGTTTGATGTTTACAAACGAAGGTTTTCGTTTAAGTTCACCATTCTAGAGAAAAAAACCTTGAGCTCGGAAGTACGTATTTCCTTATTTGTTTCGCCAGAGCGCAATTCTATGGCATTCAATCCTGATAAATACTTGCGTCAAATCTCATTAAAAAGTTTTAATGAAAAGGTTATGTAATTTTCTGCATTTTCCAATTTGTTTTTTCTTTCATCCTTACGATTACCGGACACATGTGCTGTTGCGAAAATAACATATTTCAAGCTTGGAATAGTCATTTGCGGGTTGAAATATCTGTTTATTGTATTAACGGAAAGGACAACATTAATAGGCCACTTTTAAGTTAAGTTACGTTTATATAATTGGCGCCAGAGTTTCCTCATAGTGTAGAGTGGAGAATTGTCTTTCTCCCCTCCCAATTTTTCTCTTCGCTCTCAATTTTTGAAACTCTTCGATTGATATCGCTTATCTCTTTCTACTTAATGAACACACGTACGATTGCATTCATATGTATCTAGATATTTTATGGTTAAATGTATTTGCATTGAAGTGCGTTTGCGCAAACTGCTTTCTGGAAGGTATTTTTTAGTAAACATATTAAATTAAATAAAGATTATTTAAAATAAAGTGGAAAATGCATCATCATCATGTACCACAGCCGACAAAAAATAGTATGAGCGCACCACCATCCACATCAACATCTGCTGCTGGAAATGTAACCAGAGCAATAACAACACAACAACAAAGACGTCGAAAAAAGAGACCTAATTACGGCACACGCACATTAGAGGTGCGTCGTGGATTTAGTGGTTTTGGATTTACTATATCGGGTCAACAACCATGTCGTTTATCGTGCATTGTCAGCAATTCGCCCGCAGATCAGGCTGGTTTGCGAGCAGGTGATTTTTTAATATCGGTCAATGGTTTAAACGTATCTAAGTTGCCACATGAAACAGTAGTACAATTAATTGGGAATTCATTCGGTAGTATACGTATGCAAATCGCAGAGAACTACTATTCAGATAGTTCGGATGAGGAGAATGCTACACTACAACAGAATCCACATTCACTGAGGTTACATAATACATCGGGATTACGTTACCTGCACCACAAAACGAAACTGCATCGTATGCGTAACTCACCCCAAAAAAAACGAGGGGAAACTTCTTTGAAGCATAAGGGCCAAACCGAGCGAGGCCAGACTAAAAGAACCTCAAAGGAAGCATCTAAAAAACATATGGCTGAGAGTTTAACATTATCGAATTTATGTCCATTGATGGAGGATATACCTTTGAGACCCTTAGCTGTTATGAGCGAATCCATAAAGCCTTGCACAACTCCTGCTGCAGTCTACAATTCCAACGTCGCCAATGTTAGTGCCATGGTCCGTGTACCTAGTAATGCTTTAGAATATCGGGCTGTTGTAGGTTACTTAGGAACTATTGAAATGCCGAAACAAATTTCACAAAGTAGTAAATTGCAAACCGTGCGGTCTTGTATACGAAAATTGCGTCAAGAAAAGCGTCAACCTTCAACTGTGTTAATGATTATACTTCCAGACAGTTTGCATCTACAGGCGGCCAATGGTACGGTATTAGCTACATACGCATCGTCAAGGCTAAGCTACGTCAGTTCATCATCAGAAAGTGAGAATCGTTTTTTCGGTTTGGTTACAAGCGCTGTGCATACGACTCCTTTGGATGAAGATAATGATGAACAGGATAATGAAGCCCCCACGCTTTCCAGCAGCATCACAAGTCATATAACCATATCTAATAGTTGTCATGTTTTTGTTGTAGATACCAAGTTGTGTGAACATCAATTGCACCTGGAACGAGCTCAAGATTTTCATATAGAATGCACAAAAGATCTTATATCAAGCTTATGTTTAGAATTCCCCAGCAATTCAGAATATGTGGTTAATTTAATACGAAGTATGTATACTATGCGAATTTTGCCACCGGCTACACAGCGTTGCAATTCTGGTGATCATTGCGTGCAGGCGTCAGGAGGTGAGGCTGCCCATTCACCACAACCAAGCAATCATAGTGAAATGTCCACTACAACCTCGAATTCGGATTCAGGAATAGGCTTTCACAACGACTGTCGCAACATATCAGATCGTATTGTTGTTGTTGATTTTCCTCAAGTCGACTACCTTCCGATACGTTCTATGGGAATACAGTCTTCACGACCCACGGGCATATTTCAGCGTTTAAACTTGGAACAGCCTAATCCTCCAGTCGTATCAGCTGAGAATAAACGCTTGTCTGTACGTGCTTTAGCTGATGCAGTATCTAACCCAATAACATCTATTAATGGTTTCATGACTACACGCTCATGCGATGATGTTCTCAGTTTACTTGAAAACGATGAGACTATTGCTCCTTCATATACAAATCATCAGCATGTTTCTGTAGATGACATACCGTTGAATAATGTTTCATTGAATGGCGAAGAACGGAAACTTTTTTTGCATCCTTCGTCGATTGAGCGAGATAGTTCACATTTTTTATCGGAAGGCCTATCGTCCAATAAAACTAGACGAAGTAAACAAGTGCTGGATAAATTAAGTCCGCAAGTTTATGATTTAGGTATTTCTTTCATAAAAACATCGAAGAGCAAAATATCACCTAAGAACTGCTCCTTTTCGGATTGCAAACCTGCTGATGATCCGGTTACAATTGTAAATGAGACTTCTGATCAAAATCGAAATCCGCAGGATTTGCAACAGAAGCAAGCTTTAAAATCTGTGAAGTATTCAGAGCTCACTAGTAGCGAACCTGATTTATGCGCTAGTATAGACAGAAATTTTTTGTCTCAACGTCGTTCTTGGGTTCAGTCATCATTAAGGACTTTCCGATCAGATAGAAATAGTGTAAATAGGAATGAAAAACTTTCAATTGATAATAATGTCTGCCCACTACAGAGATCGGTTTCTCTCAGCGACAATATTCTTAATAACGATTTGGTCGACAAGCAGACGAAGCCAGTATCCGATCACGGAAAGAGTGAAAAAGAACTAAATGAAAACAGCCGAGTTTCATCGTGGGCCACATCATTTGCAAATCTCCTCGAAGATCCGCTTGGAGTGAAAACTTTTGCTGAATTCCTGCGATTAGAATATTCTGCCGAAAATATATATTTTTGGACGGCATGTGAGCGCTTTCGCCACATTGACAACGAAGCCGAACGTATAATTCAAGCAAAAATAATATTTTCGAAACATTTGTCCGACATGGCTACAGAACCAGTCAACGTAGACTCTCAAGCAAGGAACGCTGTTGAAAAGAGACTTCGGCAATCGGCAGATGTAGAAGTCTTTGTTGTAGCTCAAAAACAAATTTTCAATCTTATGAAATACGACAGTTACCAGCGATTTATACGCTCCGATCTATTTAAGAAAGCTCTACAGGCGCAAGAAAGAGGAGAATGTCTGCCCTTCGAGAAAGATAACTTGGACGATCTGTTAAAAACAAATTTTACCTCAGATGCCTCGACAAATTTAAAAAAATCCGCAAGCAACGCCGAAGACCGTCGACGCAAAAGTTTACTGCCTTGGCATCGCAAAATGCGTAGAAAATCAAGAGATCTCAGTGAAGAAAATGTTCGCCGACAAACTTGTAAAAATTTTGCTTTGACAAGCAAAAATCAAAGATCGACTTTCTTTAACGATTTGCATGGGTCACGATCCTCCCTTTCATCTTATGATGCATCTATGATGGGCAGTGCAGCATCCTTAAATACTAACACTCCTTTATGTCGCGTAAAGTTACCAGATGGGTCTACAACGATTATACAAATTCAAGTCGAAGAAACTGTTGGCGAATTGGTTAAGCGGATTCTAGAGAAACGTGGTCTGAAGTATAAAACGTTTGAAGTGTTTGTTAGAGGCTTAACCACAAAATCCGTAAATCTGCAAACACTTAGTCAGGAAATTGCCGGCAAAGAAATAGAAGTAGAGCAGAGGGTAGCATTCAAATTAGACCTGCCCGACTTTAAAGTTATTTCAGTAAAAAGCAAACCCCGTAAAACACTATATGATGTTATGAAACCCATTCTACACAAATATAACTATCAATTGGAAGAAGTCGAAACCTTATATAAAGACACAAAGGAGAAAATCGATTTACACCAACATGTTGCCGAGGTTGACGGTCAACGCTTGCAAGTGCTAATAAAATCAAATAAGATAAAATTTGTAAAACCATTGCCAGTTAAAGGAATAAATGCGCAAATTACTTTGAACGAAATGACGAACACAGTTTTTAAGAATTTAATGGAGGGCAAGTTGCAAAATCGAACTTTAACAAAATCCGACGATTCGAATTCCCTAAAATCGAATGATTGCGATTCTCACACTTCCTCCATTCCCGATCGCACACGCAGAAGGGATTCGGCTAATTTAATAAACTTAAAATCGAAAAAAAAGTTACATGCAAAAGTAGCTTATGATGAACTGGCTCCCTTTAATAGGTCACTAGCAAATAATTTAAAAGGAGTCAACTGTAAATTGCCTTTCAATAAAAGTGTTCCTGATAAGGCGATCGAGAACCAAGACGAATTGCTGGAAGGTTTAAAAAGAGCTCAGCTGGCCCGCTTAGAAGATCAACGAGGCACCGAAATTAATTTCGAGTTACCCGACTTTCTAAAAAACAAAGAAAACCTTTTAAAAAGTTTGAATAGGAGCGCAGAAAACACAACTAAGAATAAAAGTAGGTATGGAACATATATGGGAAGACCGCAACCGGCTCCCAGATTATCCATTACCAATAAAAATCGCTTAGTTAGCACATCCGACGAACAGGCGTCAATTAGATGTAATAACGAAGTACAACCAACAACTTCCAGTTCAAAAAGTCCGCCGCCCTTACCGCCTAAACCCAAGGTTTTGCCAATAAAACCGTCCAATTGGGGTGTTGCAACAGCACATCCTATTTGCTCATCTGTCGCAACAGCAGCCGTACCACAATTATTTAACAAATTATCCAAAACTACAGAAATGGTAACAGGAGCAGCTATAAGTAAAGTAGCACTAATAGCAGCAGCATATTTAGAAGAACCAAGCAGTAGTTTTGTATAAAACAAATGAATGGAGAAGAACTTTTAGTGAAAGGAATATAGAATTATTGTTTGTAAAAAATTCATTAAAACAATGTATTGAATAATCTTGCCAATAACACAATAAAATTATGAAACATTGCATGTTTCCTCTTGTTATAATGTTCTAGGTTTCGCATCTTAAAATAACGTTTCGCCATTGAAACTTTGTTAATAAAATTAATTTTTTTTTTTTTTTACCATTAACCTGAAATTAAAGCTAAACAAGTTAGCGTACATGTGTCCGATAATTGCATTATTTTACTAAGGAGAACCTGAACGTACTTTGCATTACATGATCTAGTGATGGTGACGAAAAAGCACGTTATCATGTTTTTACAATTCTTCCTTCTCTTCCTTCGATAGCATGCTTATTGGCCACCGGTCATATCCGCAAATTATGGGGAGGGGACCATGGGTCGCCTGGCCTACAAAGCAGTTTTTTGGCTTTCGAATATTGGATTGTTTGCAGTACCATTTTTCGTTGCAATACACAGAAAAAGTAACACACGCCACAAATAGCGAATTTTGCTACGTTCGTTTACTTAAATCTGTTGTTACTCCACATCAAAATAACGTAAAGCGTAAGGAGTATACTTTGAACTGAAACAGCAGCTTTACTCATCATCATCATCATCATCATCATGAAGGAGGTGTTCATGATGGCATAAAACATTTAACCAAATAATAACGTTTCGAATTCGCTCCACGTTCAAATTATCTGTTATTT